AGTATTTTAGCCTATTTTCCTTCCAAAATAAGACAAAAATTCTGCCAAATAAGTGAGACACAACAAGCGAGATGCTTGTTAAATTTCACTTGGGATTACAAGTTGAAAGGAACAAACAAAGATAGTTAAAACAGAAGTATAGACTGACAGTTGACGGGATGGGGCATTAGACTTGGATGTGCAGAACAAGTGGTGAAAGCAAGGGAATATACCGTGGCCAGTGCGGCTCATAGCATTACTTTTTGTATAAGTCTAATGTTCAAGCGACAGTCATCACCCACATTCAAAAGCTGGGGCTGCTCCAAAGTCTCACGTGAAAAGGCTTTATCAGTTCACAGCACAACATACTGACTCCAGAAAACAGGACTTAGAATGAGTCATATGTGCTCTGGCAAGAATCCAAATCTAGGCAAAATAATGATTATCCCTCTCGTCCCACAGTGCAGTGTGTAGGTGGAGGAGCGTTCGCAGTGCTTTTAGAGGCAGGGAGTGCAATTTGCAGTTTAATAATGGAGATGAGTCACGCATAAGAAGTTATCTGTGTAATACTTAATGAATGCAAGTGGATTGTAGGGTTGAGATATCAAGTGGCCGTGAGGAAAAGTTTCAAGGCCAGGCGTACGAGTCTGACACTCCAGAAGGCCTCTGGAGAGACAGACACTAGGAAACGGGAGGGCACTGGGGAGGGACAAAAGCAGGGGGGTTGGGGCAGTGGGGAGGAGAAAAATAGGGGTGGGGCTAAAGGGAGGGGCAAACACTGTAAGGGAGGCAGAAGGACCCCAGTGTGAGACAGGTGCAATGGAGCATTCAGCATGTCTTACAGGGGAACACACTCCCTAATCTTGCTGTCAGTGACCTCCTTAAACATGGCGGCAGATGTGACCTCCTCCAGCGGGCACATGATGCCGTATTCCTCACAGCCGCGAGCCTGCACCAGCGGGTCCGCTTTGTTGGGGTCGAACATGATATTGTTGGGTGTGACCAGCAGCACTCCGCTGACGGTACCCTGGGGGAGACAACAGAGTCAGCAGGAGGATGGGGGAGGGGCAAACTTCTCACTCATTAGACAGCCTCCATCACCAGGGCAATGACACTCCAGTATCTCACCACAGCTGCTGTGCAAGTGCGGAAAGAGGAGAAAGTCATTCGAGGCAGAAGAGACCATCGTACAGGAAACAAACAGGAGCTCCACCAGTCATGGAATATGTCAACAACAACTTACAGAAAAAGACTGACAGACTGATAATTGATGACAACGTCATTGTAATTCCCAGAGGAATTTAGAGATATATCCAGCAAGTATCCATCAGGTTCAATTGGCTCTGCTCTAGTGGTGGTTACAAAGCAGAGTGTGGAGAGCCTCTGTTTTCCATCAGTAAAGCGATGTCACAGCTCATTTTCTGATGGTATTATACCCCGATGTGCTGGGGTGCAGATTAATTTGTAGGATACAGCTGGGGAATGCAACTTTTGAGAAACTCGAAAAAGCAAGGAAGATTTTGAAAGTAGCCAACCCACCCCCTCATTTAAGCCCTCTTTTCAGAGCCACTCCCCCAAAAGACATGAATGCACAGTCTGCTGTCTCATGGAAGAAATATGGTTAACGCACAGCGTTAGGGAATGGTTTTTATATCAAATGACTTCATGTTTCATTCATAGATAAGAAAACACTTGACATTATACTGGATGCAAACAGTGAACACATCTGCAATTAGTGCTCACAGCTACTATCGTAGCGTCAGTGGTATTGGACTCTTTGATTGAAATTAGAGTCTGATGTATTGCCGGCAAGCAAACAGTTCCTGGCAACAATAATGTTGAATATCCAGCCAAAAAAAAAAAAAAAAAACAAATCTGGCAAAACTACTGAATTTCACCATGAATTGGCTGAAGTACCTGAATAACTAACAAAATACAACATTTAAATGATCATTTCATTTACTGAAGGTATTCAAAACCAATATCACCCAAGTGAAAAAAATGGCCCCCCTTTACCCGTTAACTGGCTGTGCCAGCCTTGGCAGCAACAATTGCAATCAAAAGTTCATGATAGCAATGAGTTATTTTTTACATCTCTGTGGAGGAATTTAGGCTCACTCTTTCTTGCAGAATTGCTTTAATTGAGCCATATTGAGGGGTTTCAAAGTATGTGCTGCCTGTTAAAGGTCATGCCTCAGTATCTCAATCAGATTCAAGTCAAGACTTTGACATAGCTACTCCAAAACCTTCATTTTATTTCTGATGAGCCATTCAGAGGTGGATTTGCTTCTGTGCTTTAGATTGTCCAGCTGCATAACCCAACTGTGCTTGAGCTTTAGATCACAAACTGATAGCCAGACTCTCCTCAAGAATTTTCTGGTAGAGAAAGAAAAGAGTTGAAACTGCAAACATAATGACCATGATAACTGTCACAGCTGAGGCAACATCATGCTCACAATTCCAGTGCCCTATGGACCTCTGCTTTGAGGCTCAGACAATTGTAAGCTACACATGTGTAATGGCTGTGTATTTAAGACCACAATATGAGTAAATTAGGTATGGAATTCAGAGACAAATGAAAAAAGGCTATACGAAAATCAGCCCATAGATGCAGCTCTTCAGGCTAAATGGAATGTTTTGAACTGACATTTGAAGCCTTAACTCTCACATCTCTCAATGTCATCACACAATACTCAAAGTGCCACACTTGGGAGTAAAAAATGCCACAGCTGCGTGTTGACAAAGAGAAGCAAGAAACATAAATCACAGATTAGCAGCTCTACAGGATTAGTGGTGTATTCTTTTTCTCGTATGCTTCTCTTTATCGCTCAGAATCAAAACAAAAACAATTGTAAAAGTGTTAAAAGTTTCCAGCAACTAAGATTTAAGGAGGCATTTGCCTCTGTTAAATATTCAAATTATATTTTGTATAGTTGAACAGCGGGTTATCATTTGCATTCTATGCAATATAAAATCCTAAAAAGTTTTCGAATCTAATGTTGTTGTCACTGTGACTATTAAATACTTAACAGCAAAGAGAAATAATCTGATAAATACTAATAAATGCAGGAAATTGATTACAGACATTCAACTCTTTCAAAAGCATTCAAAGATTATGGAAGAGTGAGTCTGGGCTGACAGAGTGAATATTAAAACATTATGGGCAAAAATGCACCCAGTGCAAAGCATTTTCCTGGCAAAGACTCATCATTCTTCTGGGAGTAAAGACAGTTGAAATAGATTGAGAAAATATGTACACGGATCACACCAAAAATCATTCACTGCCAATTGTATCCTACCTCAAACAGAAGTAAAGCCAAAATCCAAAAGATCTGTAATGATCTTCCATGACAGCACAATGCTTGACACAGGGTGCAATACATTCTAAAGGCAGTAGGGGGACAGAGTGCAAACCTTGCCATCCGTGATGTACTTGCAGTTGATTTTCAGGAACTTCTCGGTCAAGGCCTCTTCCTCCTCAGAGGTGGACGAAACGACTCTAGCGGGGCGAGGGAAGAGATGGGCTGGAGAGGGGGCAATCACCCTCCGCGGTATGCTGTCTGAATCCTGAAGTGAAACAAAACGCCTGCTTAAGTAATCCACCACTGACAAGCCAACACGCCAAATTAACACATGCACTTTAACAGTTGTTTTGACAGACAGAGAAACTCAACAAGTTGGGCAAGGGACCAGAAAATTTGGGAATCAACAAAATACAGTACAGATTTATTTAACACAACAGCTGGAGGTCTTGACAGAGTCTGCCATGCTGAACAATAGCACAAAATTGCCTTGGCAACATAAACTGCAACAAAATGTAATCCAATTTGCACCACCACTGAAAGGGCAAAATGGTTCTTTTTCAGGTACTAGTGTGTTGGAGGAGCTGAGCTCAATAATATTTAAGATCAATAGTCATAGTGTAGCAGGAGCCTCTTAAGCACAGCGCCCTGCTCTTGTAAATTGCCACACGAGCCCAGGAAGGCTGTGGACAGGGCTGCTCTATATTGATCCAACATGACTCACGGCTTAGTGCTAACTTTACAGTAGCTCAGTGCTGCAGGTGCACTGATGCTCTGAGAGGCGTCATAACCTGTGAAGCCAAACCGTTTAGGCATCAAGTGCATTTAGAACAGTTTAGATGTCTCTGTGTCAAACCTTACATGAAATCAAGATGGATCCATCTTGGTCTTTTCATTATTTGAAGAAACTAAAATTGCAGTTGCAGGCACAGTGTAATTATACACTGTACCTTATTCATTGCATCTATAGGGTTTGAGAGCTGGGATCAACTGAACTATGAAATGCTGTTAAAAAGTCCAATTCAGTTACTGAATTTGAAGGCCATAATAATGAGCGAAACATGTAATCTTTAATGACAAATTTTACAATAAACAGCATTTTGGAGATACATTAAGATAAATTTAATACAGCCAAAGTTTATATTTAGCCGATATTTCGAAAAATTTAGTTAAATGTTAGAGGAATCTGTTACCTTGATTGGTGGTTCCCAGTTTCCAGTTTCAGTCCTGTATTACAGTCCTTGACTCCATCCAGTTTCAATTTTAATTTAAAAAAGCAATCAACGTTCCTTCATGATGTTTAGATGGATTATTTACCCTTTTAAGCATCATTGTAAGAAAGAGCCTTGGAGACCAAAAATGTACCTGAAGGCAAATTATAACAAAAAGAGGTACGCACTTTCATTTGAACAAATTTAATTTGAATCAATATCCTAAATGGACTGCTTAATGTGGAATAAATGTGTTAAAGATAAGATAAGATACACTTTATTGAACCCTATGGGGTAATTTGTCCTCTGCATTTGACCCATTCAACAGTTAGGAGCAGAGGGCAGCCACAGAGCAGCGCCCGGGGACCAACTCCAGTTTTAAAGCCAGTTCCTTGGTCAGAGTACTGATAGAAACATTCCTGATAGGAGCATTGCGTGTTTTTGTGGGTGGGGGACCCCAGAGTACCTGGAGGAAACCCACGCGAACACGGGGAAAACATGCAAACCCCACACAGAAAGGCTGGATTCGAACCCACGACCTTCTTGCTGTGAGGCAGAAGTGCTAACTACTGTGCCACCGTGCCGCCCAACTTTTATCTTTAACTTCACAGAATGCAGCCTTGGGCCATTTCCCTTTGCTTTGAAAGTTCTATTATCTACCAAATGACTAGTTTTATTGAGCATACATCCATAATTTCATCTACAGTATAAGTAGCCTACTCATCCACTTCAATATTGAATGTCATCCATCCATTATATGGAGGGGGGGGGGGGGGTCAGGAGTCTATCCCAGCATCCATAGAGTTAGAGGCAGCATTACACCATGGGCAGAACAGCTATCCTTTGAAGGGCGCATGCACACACACACACACACACACACACACCATCCACTCACACCCTCCATGGGCAATTTAGTGTCCACAAATGGTGTAACATGCATGTTTAGGGAGAGCCATGCAAACATCATGACAGCTCCACAGAGAAAGGCCCCGAGACAGATTCAAACCCACCATCCTGCTGTAAGGTGACAGTGATATCCAACGCAACACTATGCTGCCCAGTCTTTCACACTTGAAATTCTTAAGGTTTGGTAAGTTTTTCAGGTAGGGAAATTCTTTTAAGTATGTTACAGTGTAATCACTGAAAGCCTTACTCAACAGGGCATGCAATTATACTGAGCATAATGTGGCCGAAGGAGATAAATAATCCCTCATTAAAAATCATTAAAAGCACATAATTACAGAAAGTTGGCAGCTTGTCAAAATTCTAGGACAGGATTTATAAATGAACCAAAGGAGTCCCCAAGAATAAGAATACTGCCTTAAAACATGACTGGCGAAAACCAGTGATAACAGCCAAAGCACAGCTCATGTTGTGGTAAATGTGACATATTCTTCAAATGTTTGCATTTCCTTCCAAATTCTGAATATAATTCCATTTCCAACAAATTCAATAGAAATTAAAATTCTGCTTTAAAATTTCTGAACTAATCACAACAACTTCCTGAAAACCAACAGAATCTTGTAACAGTTGCACTCAAATTACAGTGCAGCACCTCTACACTTCAGCAGTGCAAAGGTGATGATGCTTCCTCGCCAATAATAATTCATTTGCAATAATCAACAAAAAAGTATACACAATATTAGATGCGTATATTATGATCAGCTGATGAGCTTAAATTCCCTTTCTAAAGATGGCCATTACTTGAACTCCATTTACCCCAATACAACGGTAAAACAGACGAATGATGTGCAGCACATTGATTTTGGGCACAACCGCTCAGAGGGACAGTAAAACTCCCATACTGACAGGTTTGTATACAGCAGCGGTTATCTGAAAGAGATGGTGATTAGAGCTCCAGCGCACTGCTTTTATGTGTAAATGGCAGGCAGCACAATACTCATTACACATAACTGCACACACTGAGACAGGTAAAGGACGGAAAACTCATGAGAACTGCAGCTTCATGTTGCATGAAATGAAAAACAAACTGGTGTCTATGCCCGGCTGGCCCTCCATTTGAGACAATCAATGTTTTTGTTGACTAGGAACAAGCCATGCTTTGACTTGAATGGTCTGGCGAAGATGTGAAAAAATCTGATTTGTCAGAACGATTACCCTCCGTTTCACTCCTGTCATGCCACAAATTATACCAGCATTCATTTCAAATATACCCACAGTGTACACACTCAACAAGACATGTAGACGCAACTCCTGACAAACATTCACACGCTAGAGGTGGGGTTCTTCCCAAGTAACTAAAAATGTACCCTCACAAACATTGAACAATGACACATTCACTTAAGTCCATCATGAGATTCTTCATTCCCAAAGAACCAAATAAATGGGTAACAAATGCTTCTTTCTGACAGCAGAGCGTAAGGTATGGCTGATGCACTGCTCACTGAAGAGAAACAGTCATGATTCACCTCTCTCCCAGGACTGAAAAACCGCTAACAGTGTAAATAAGAAGATACTCCCATGAGATGGCTCAACACTCACACTGAATCTCCAGGAGAATTGATGTAAATGCACTTCAGCCAATGCAGCGAAACAGAATAACAGGGATAAAGAGCAAGAGAAATAAAAAAAGTGACATAAGCATATTGCTTATCTAAATGAGAACGGCTCATTAGATCGCTTTCCTTTCGTGGTTGAAACTCTGAAAATGTAAAGACAGCAATACACTGAATCGGGATACAAGACTACATATGTGTGTACAGTCTGGAGAGAGTGGATGAGTCATTGTAGAGCCGCGTCTTTGCTAGCTGGGATCCGGCCAGTCCAATACAGGACCATCTGGAGCTTACACACTGTATGGTGGGCTGTGGAAGTCCAGCTAAATAAAAACGGTGATTCAGCCTGGAAGTAACAGAGGGACATGTCCACTGCTACTCTCCCAATGACATCTGAGAAGAAGCAGCCCACAGAAGATGCACAGAAGAGCTTAGCAGATGACACTGGCAGCACTGGGCCTAAGAGACCAGTTTCATAGACATTAGGCCACGTTTCGTGGGGACAAAAAGCATCCCAAAATAAACAGCCGACCATCATATTTTCCCAGAACATGCACAAATGATGCAAGCAAGAATAATCATGCACTAAAATGTGATCAATTCATACAACCATATGACATCAGCAGCCTTCAAATGGTGCTTTGCAATCTGAAGCCTACATTTTACTGCAATCATTCCACAGAATTTCTAAATAAGGAGAACTGCCACTCTCATAGCTTCCTGTTTTACAGGGAGCACTTACAAGATGGTCAAGAATGAAAGGGAATCCACAGAGCTGTATCCCCCAAAATGGCACATTCATGGGGTCAAAAAAAAAATTCTGGATATTATAATATTTTCAATACAAGGGGTCCAGAAGATAGACATAGTCCCATTTTTAGATTTTTTTGGGTTTTCAAATGAACTAAAATATGTTTTTGTCAGTATTATTGACGTCACGCACCCTGCGCGACTTTATGGAGTTCACCTGGCCACTTGATAGCAGTAAAACAGGAGGTATATGCACATTTCTAATTTAACCACACTCCTAACGTTGGTTGTGGTCATTGTTGGGAAAATACATAAGGAATATGATATACACAAAAGTCAAAGTCAAAATTATTGTGATTGTGTTCATATGATTGTTGTAGGGTAAGTCTGTTTGACTAAGGTAGCTTTGGAAAATAACAGGAGGGAGGGTGTTCGGTCACCATTGGTTAAAAGGACATACATTAGCAGAATGCTAGTGTTTTCTAGGCAAAATTGCCTAGCCTATATGAAAAATGAAAGGACACTGGTATTTTTTCATTTTAATTCTGATATATATATATTAAATACTATATTTGCCAAACTAAAAAAGAAAAGACTTTTATGTCCAAGCAGGAGTAAATAATTACAAGTATTTTAGCTGTTTAGCTCCATTCACTCCCACTCATTGAGGACTATCTCACTAGCAACCACAAGGTGAATTGCAGTCTACTTCGGTACCAGGACATTGAGAGGAAGTGGACAAGCTCTCTGTTGAAGGGCTCTGATCAGTCTTCAGTCTTTCAAGCCCGCAACCACTTCAGGGATGGGGGGAAATACTCAGGACAAAATCAAAATGGGGGTGTGGGGATGACAACGGTCATGTAGGGCTCAGCAGACTGAGAAACAGGACTTCATATCACATTAAAATAAAATTTCTTCGGCTGATTCAGCGCCTGGTATTCCATTTCAATTAAGTAGTAATAATTTATATAGCAGTGGCACTAGCAAGCGGTACAGAGGTGATTAAATCTGCCTCTTTATCTTCTAAAAGGGACTACAGATGCTGTGTAATAAATGCATTTGAATCTTCAACAACTCTTTTCCCCATAATGACTGCATATGACACCTAACTCTTTTCCCCATAATGACTGCATATGACACCTAACTCTTTTCCCCATAATGACTACATATAACACCTAACTCTTTTCTCCATAATGACGACATATGATGCCTATATGTATATCAATGGACCTTTACCCTAGCCTCCCCATTGATTGAAAACGGGGGGTATCCCCAAGGCGTCATAACAACTGGCCATAAGAAAATAAAGAATAATTTTACATGTACATAATTGATGGCAGGATACGCTGGAATGGCATCTACTTTAAGGATTGCCAGTATATCTTTGAATAAACAACATGCGCGCCAATGCAGTTTGGAAATCACAGGCGTCAAAAGCCTATCTTTATTACCCTCTTGTGGACATTTACAAATACTGCAGGGTCTTTCTGTAGGAGGGTGACAGAAAGAAAAGGTTAACTGAAGGAGAAAGACCCCTGTTGTTTATTGCAGTAAATTGCAGAGCTAAGCAGAAAAAACACTTGTGTCCCCCCACTGTGTTCCTAATGGCAGAGCAGGAAGCGTGCGCTCTCGCACAGGAAGCGGTCAGCGAGCAAAACTGGACAATCTGCTTGAAAAGGAGTTTTTATGTTCAAGTTTATGAGTCTGCCAAAAATCCTAATGAGATGAGAGTGTTCATCCACCGGCAAAATGTCTCCACGCTCCTGCTAGCACGCCAGCAGGCGAATTCATATGGGCATTTTAGCACCTTTGACTTCCATTTAGAATTGTATCCTGAAGCCCTGAAGTCACCACACAGACCGAAATAACAATAATATGAGCAACACTAAAAATATATTGGACTTCAATTATGCATCACGCAGTTAAAGATGTATGAACACTACAATCAATGTTCAAAAAAAAACAAAAAAAACAATTGAATCCTCTACATGTAAAATGTTCTCTGAGTGAGGAATATGATATATCACATGAGGGTACATGGAATCCCATCACATCACTTGTCATTATACTCAAATGGGAATTAATTTATAATCGTATGAATAATCTTTCATCAAACTCCTCATAAAAGGACATTTTCCCCCAAATGCGCAACATAAGCTTTTATATTAAAAGCCAATTAATTTAAAGCACAGCAGTGCAGCTTATTAAAGCCAAAGCCTTCAAAATTAAATTATGCAATATTTTGAGAGGAAAATTTCCATTTATTGAGAAAATATTATTCTTGTGCGACTGTTCTCTCAGGGACGCTTGAGCATAC